AGTCAGGACCGGAGATCCAGCGCTTCCAGCGATGAAAGGACACCGCCAGCGAGGGAACAATCGCTCAACAGCCGCGCCGAGTTCTCTCCGGGGAGGGAACAACGCGCCAGCTCAGCCCCAGTCCCGTCCCTTCGAGGTTTCCAATTAATGGAACAACTGCTCGAGCACCAGCTCAGAGCTGCCCATACAGAGCTCCGCGTTTGCCGCGGCAGGCGAGCACAAACCCGGAGTAACCCCGCGCACAAACCCGGGGCAACCGCGCCCAGAAACGGGCGTTCGCACGGGCAGAAGGGTGCGAACGGGGAGGGTGGAATTGGTGGGAAATCAAGGGCGATTCCCCCGCCGCGGGTACTCACGGAGGATGCTGCGGGCTCGGGGCGCTCCCGCGGCCGCTCCGGCTCCTTCCCCCGGCCGGGGCTCGCCCGCCGCCCCTTGCCCGGCCCGGGGACAGCCCGGGGACAGCCCGGGGACAGCCCGGTGCCGCTGTCGCTGCCGGCACAGCCCCGGCACAGCCCCGGCACAGCCCCGGCACGGCCCCGGCACGGCCCCGCCGCCCGCAGGTGCCTCCCCGGGGCCGCCCAGCCCGGCCCGGCCCCCGGCACCGCCTCCGCGGGTGCCCCCGGCACGGCCGGGCAGCGCTTGGGAGGGGGATGGATGATGGAAGGCTCTGGGATACACCCCACACCCCCACACCCCTCCCCAGCTCACAGCCAGAGCGCCGGAGATTTGGGAACAGCCCGACTCCCGCGGCGCTTCAGTGCCCAAAGGTCCTCCAGGCTCTTCGGGGGAAGAATCCCAAACGCGTCCATCCCGGGTGGTTCTGTCCACTCGTCAGGATCGAGCTGGGAAGGAATCCTTGCCTTTAACCTGTGCTTCGACTTCTTTATCCTGCGTTTCCCGCTAAAGAGTGGGGAAGAAGTGTGTGACCACAGTCCCTGTCGGGATTTTTCCTGTGGAAATCCCACTTATAAAAGGGATCTGCCCCCTGCCTCGACCTGATGCTGCTCCCACGGGAAACCAGAAAACCACATGAACAAGCCACAGCCCTCAGTCCAGGCTCAGCTCGTGGTTTAGGGTTGCTGTGCAGATGTTTCTCCCCCCATCCTCCAGTTCAGCTTCCCCAGCTGCAACCAGAGCCACCATCCCTGTTACAACCCACCTGAAACACATGGATGGAACCTGCCCCTTACAAAGTCCTGCCTCCACATGCAAAGGCAGCAACAGGGGCATCCCAACTGTCCATGAACATTTGCAGTGGATTTCTTGGGAAGACCAGAGTACGGCACAGCCTGAAAAGTTGGGATGAGGAATGAGGTGCTTCCTTAATTCACAGCTCCCTGCTTCTTCCTGGGTCTGTGCACAATGATCTGCAGGTTCACCACATAAAGCACTTTGGGGAGCCATTGACAAAGATGTCAAATATAAACCTGAACTTGCACTTATAAACCTGAACTTGGATTTATAAACCTGAACTTGGATTTATAAACCTAAACCTGGATTTATAAACCTAAACCTGGATTTATAAACCTAAACTTGCCTTGGTGCCAGTCAGTGCTTGCACCAAAGAGAAAGCTACAGCCACAAGTCCCATTTGAGAAGCTGGTGCTCAAGTCCAAGTGAAGACTTAAAGAACAACCAGACCAGCACAGACCACCACAGGGAATGGGAACTCACCTCCTCCAGAAACTTCTGTGTTCCCAACACGGGTCATGCTCAGTTTGGTGCCCACCATGGACTGGTTTCTACACTGCACCCCAAGCTGAACCCCACAGAGGCTTTCTCACCAGAAACCACATCCAATTATTCAGCAATTTTCCTGCACAACTACAAAGACCCACATTAGTCACTTCCAGCTCAATCCTTTTGCCTCAATCCCTCCCTGTGCAGCTCCTTAAAACCAGAGACTGAAGTCTCAGCAGGGATTACTCACCAGTCATCCTTTCAAGGGAATAAATTTTGCTTGATTGGTTTCTTTTCAATTACTGCCTCATCCTGCATGAACAAGAAGGAACATGAGGCTCCCCTGGGAACAGGAGTGGTTCTCCAGCCACGTACCTTCCCTGGGCTGTATCTCTGGAGAGCACAAGGGGCTTCTTTCAACAGTGAGCAACCATCACTTGGAAGAGGTATGAATGCAAGTTAATGAAAGTAATTAATAACTCAATTTAAATAGCATAAGAAAGAAGGAACCAGCCTCTGTGACTGTTGGGTTGATGTGGAAAGAAGAAAATGTTCTGTGTTGCTACCAAGCATTGGCTGGATGATGTTCCTCCCTTGCAGAGATGCAAGTTCAAAGGAGAATTCAGATCTCCTGCTTCCCACTGCTTTGTCCTGAACAAGGACATTCCCTCTGGGACAGGCACCTGAGGAAAGACAGACCCCTTGCTTTAGAGAAACCCCCCCGGGAGCTTCTGTTCGAAGTCTCAGCCACGTGAGAAAACCAATCCAGAGGATCCCCCTGGGAGGAACTGGAACACAGCAATCCCAGCTGGAAGCAGCCCAGTGTCATTGTTCCAGGCACCACAGTGTGCTCAGCATCCTTTAAGCCATAAAACCCAGCTGGATTTATGAGGTGCTGCCCCTGCCACGATGCTCAGGAGGGTGTGAACATCCACAAGGACGCCAAGGACGAGCCCGGTAAAGGCAAATGTGAGGCAGCAGAGAGGGAGGGTGGGACTTTCCCAAGTGTTTGCTTGGGAAGAAATCCCTCACCAGGTCCTGAATTTGTAGCCCTTTACCATTAGCTGCAGTAATAAACCCACATGCTGGGTTTATACACCGTTAAATGTGTAAATACATATAAATGTTTATACACTGTTGTGTATAAAGCTCTGCTGCCAACACCAGTTACCCAGTTTACAGCTCCTCAGCCACCAATCCTGATCCATTCCTGTTAGAGGAGGACAAAAGGAGACACTGGGGTGCTCCAGAACAATCCTGACAGAGTCAGTGAGTGCTGAAAGACGTAACAGGACTCTCAGTTAACTACAAGGGCTGCTACAGCCTTACAGAAGCCCTAAGGAAGATAAATTCCCCGAATTTAATCATGGAGAAGGTCTGGACTCCTCCTGGAACACCAGGGCAGTTCACAGCACCACTGGTTACGTTTCCTGCACTGAGCAGGGCAGGGCCTGGGACTGTCTTAGTGAGAACAAAGAGAGAACAAAGGGAGAGCAAAGATATTGCAACAGACTGACCAGAAATTCATTATTAGCGTCTGGAACTGTGTTGTGAAACCAGGACCTCAGAACTCTACACATCCCCACAGCCTCAAAAGCCATTCCCAGACAGCCCTGCAAGGGCTGGAGCTGAGCTGAGGGGACCTGTCCCAGCAGGAGAGCACAGCCCAGGCCCTGCCTGCTGGGCCGAGCTGTCCCGACAGGGACACGGTCCTGCACAGTCACAAAGGACACACAATTTGGTATTTTGCTATTTTATGTAACAGCAAACCAGGAGTGTCCTTCCCACTGCCTCACCCTGGGACTGCTGATAGCTGGGATATGTTCAGTGCAGCAGGGAAATCAAACATTCCCTTCCACAAGCCTGAACAAGCCAAGGTGTTAAAAACGCGAGAGCCCTCGTTCAGAGGAGGATTTTAACACATCAGGTAACATTGGAACACGGTGTGTTTTTAGTGGGACTCAGCACAAACACAACCTAAAGCTAAAATGCCCAAAAAAGCCCAAGGTCCCACCCATCCCTCCACTCAGATGGGCACACGGCAAGACACAACTCCAGTCCTGGTCTTTTTTAATTGAGATAAATTAAACAGAGCCTGTGAAACCTTCCTGGAGCTGAGTGTGAGGTCAGGGCCAGCCCTGTGTCACACCCCCTCGGGCTGCAGGGGCAATACCTACAGGAGAAGGAGTGTTTTATCCTGCTCTGCATTTTCTCCAAGGGAATGAGGCTTGGCTGGGGTCTCCTTCCACATTAAACACACACTGGACCATAAATCTCTCCCAGCAAGTTTTCCACTCAGAGCAGAGCAAGTAAACAAAGCCTGGCAAGATGAACATAACAATCTTCTGTTCTGGGCTAAATAATCCAAAAGCAGACAAAAATGGAAGTGAAACCTTTCAAGGAATAAATGAAGCAATAGGCATTTTATCCATGAGGCCTTTCCAGGGGAAGCAGTTCAGCAAAGAGGTAGAACCAGGAGTTGTAATTGCAAGTTTGCAAAAACAGGGCTTGTTCTCAGCTGTTGGGAAATAAAACCAAACCACCCTCAGCAACTGTAAATCCAGAAGACACAGGCCCAGAGAAACACCACACATTTCAGCTGCTTCTCGAGGAGGCTTTAAAGGGATCTGGGGTATTTATTTATACAAAGTGCAGGCTCGGAAAGGGCCGAGCTGGTGCCCCTGTGCCAGCCCTGCTGCTAAAAATAGCACCCAGCAGCAGGTCAGTGATTCAGAGAAACAGGTTCTGGTGGTTGTCACCGAGTCATGGCACGCAGTAAACAAAGCAGAGTTGAAGTTCATTCACTCCCAAGGCAGGGTGTCACCCTGGAGTGACCAGAGCCACTTCTGGTACCGACCCATGGCCAGGACTCACCTGCTCCTGATGTCACCCAGGACAAAAGCCCATGGTTTAGTTTTGTGGATCAGTGCATCCCATATTATTTCTGTAAAGTCTGGCCCTTTCTCTCCTGTGGAAATGGGTCTTGGGAGATTTTTTGAAAGCAAGGAAATATTTCTCTTAATTGCAACAAAATCTTCGCAGAGCTCAGGACTGGCCCAAGTGTCAAACTCCCCTGAGGACTGACCTGGGCTGTGAGAGGCCCCCAAACCCACCAAAAACACCCTCAGTCCCTCCTGCAGCCCAGCAGCTCCCAGGATATTTCTGCAGAAACCCCCAACTTCTTCACTTCCCTGATAATTTCCACATGGAAAACCACAAACAGTTATCGGGAGCGTTCACTCAAGGCAGACACCGCCATTAAAAATCTTACATATCAAACTTGGTCCAACCTCTGGAAAACAGCTAAAATCCCAAGTGTGAATGGCACTGCACTGTTTTATTTTAAGTGTCTTTACACAATGAGAAGTGCTGGAATGTTCCACATTTTACACGTTTACACATCGACAACATCACACTTGCTTTGCCTTAGAAAACTGTTTCTGAGGGTTTTCCACTTATTCCTACTCACAGCACCTTCTACAGTGGGGCAGAGATCAAACAGCTCACAAAACATAAACAACACAGAGAATCCAGACAGGGCTTCTGGAATTTTAAAAATCCACAAGCCTGATGGGTAACACAGGTTTTTGTTGGGTTTTTCCCCTTTGTTTCGGTACCACAGAACAGTGAGACAGAGAAGTTGGTCTTTGAGTGATTTTAATACCTGAAGAGATACATAAATATCACACCTGTGGAGGCAAGGTGAACAAACCCCATTTTCCTACCTTTTTAATCTCTACTATTCCTGCCTCTGGAACAAGGACCTGCCTGCAGGATCCCACTTTGCAACGTGAAGCTGGTGGTGGGAGGGATCACAATCCAGGACAACACAAGAGCTGGAAGCTGCTCCATCCATGTGAATCCCTGACCATTCCTTTTCTCTCTGCTGTCAGCCAAGTGAGAACACTTTGGAAAGTTCAATAAGCACGTCATGAACGACTGAACCACACTAAAATGAACCCGAAAAATCTGAATTTCTGAACGACTCAAATGATTTCTTACACACAAACATCAGCAGCCTGGTTTGTTCACAAATCATTTTATCCTCTGAAATAGAAAAAAAAAAAAAAAGAAGAATCTGTCTAGACTAAAAAAGTTTGGCTATAAAATAGCATAAAAGCACAGGAACAGGTGTTGTTATACCAAGGCATATTTTCCTCCTACTAAAAAACACTTAACACAAGATCACAAAATTAAAGCTCTGTATTCTAAAAGATGCACCCTGCTCTCAGAGGCAGCAGATGCTCTGCCAGACACGCAGGATGCCACACAGGAAAACAGCAAACAAGGGCTGAAACTGCATAAGAACTGGCTAAGCCAGGCAACTGATTGTCTTTGAGAATACAAAACAGACTGGAGAAGTTAAAAATTAACCCTCAGCATCTTATCTCCTGACATGACCTAACAGTCACTGCCTTATCCGGCCCAGGAGCCGCCTCCAGGACTGGACATGTTCAGAGAGGATCAGACACAACCCATTCAGCTGCTGGACCCATATTTTAATCTACCTACTGTAATTAACTCCTAATTAGGTGTCAGTGCAAACCAGCAGTGCACCACCCAGAGCTCAGAGCAGGAGTGTTGGTGAGGGACTCAGTGTGTGGCTCTTCCCCCGTGCAGCCACCAAACCCAGCTGAGTTCAGCTCCATCCCTGTGTTTGTGCCTCATGTGTCAAATCACAAACACGTACTTGGCGTTTCTGAGGAAAGCAAAGGTTAATCCCCACCTCAGCTGGGAAGGAGTTTTAGCACAAAGAGTGCATTTCACTTGTGTTTAACACTATATTAACTGGAAGCTGTTGGACCAGCACAGATCAGCTTTAAGTTGCTGTGCAAGGAGCTTTCTGGAACCCAGTCACGACAGCAAGAGATTATTTCAGCACTTGGTACATCACACTGTACAACAGAAACAAAAAAGAGTAACATCTTAAAAAACCAAACCCAAAACACAACCAGACTCCCTAATTGTCACTATTTCAAGTCAGGTGGATTTGCTACACTCGGGGGGGTGGGGGAGGGACTAGTCCCTAAAATTAAAGTGCTTTTCAGAGCATTGGCATCCAAACTCTTGAGCATGAGAGACAACTACAAGTCAGATCTGTTGTCGCTACAGCAGCAGCAGCACAGACATCGACACATGGACTCAGGAGTGTCTGGTGTTGGTAGCCCCTGGAGCAGCCCAGCTCTAGCAGTGCATGGTCCCCCCCACCTCCAGGGCACACTCGAAGGCCTTGGAGTCGCCCAGGATGGTCGGGGGGGGGTCTGGGCGCCGGGTCTGCAGGATCTTCTGTCTGGGGTTTTTGATCTCCTCCTCCTCCTCCGTCTCGCTCTCGCACACGTGGACGACGACGCTGGGGGTGGAGTCTGTCCCCGCGTGCAGCTCGTACTTCTCCCCTGGGAGCAGCAAACAAAAACCGGGCTAAAGCACCCCCAGGGCAAAGCATTTAACCTCAAAAGCTCCTCAATATCCCCAGCGGCACAACCAAATGTTCCTCTTCGGTTTGCTCAGCCTCCACACTTCACTGAGCCTCTTTAAAATAGTTACATCGGCCCTTCGAATACAATCAGCCTTTCAACCGGTATTTAAAGCAAGGAAGGGATGCTAAAGACCCTCAGGAGCCACTGAAGACATCAAAGCACAGGCAGCACAGGCGTTTTTAAGTGGCATCATTTATGCTGTACATTTTGTGTGGCATTTGTAAATGAAAACCCACAAAAGCACTCGAAAAGGTTAAGCCTCCGTATTTCCTGTTTTTCACAGAGAGCAAACACCATGTTTCCCAGGAAGGCTCAGAAAGATGATGATTAAACCCAAAAAGTACATATTAGCATCTCTAGATCCTTAGTAACTTGAGCTGCCCATCTGCATGAGACTGAAGTTCTCATGCCTCTTTTATAGTTTGTTCCTTAATGCTGAGACTCTGACAGAATTCAATATATGGATGTGATGGAGCCAGTACCACACAGGCCAGTCTGTGCTACTCTTTCAACCAATTAACTAATTAAGTAAAAAAAGTGATGGATCATTTCATTCAAGGAAGAAACATCACATAAAAGAGACCAAGTTTCTTCTCACACAAAGATAAGGAGATAAAATCCCTCTATAACCATTTTTTAAAGTTAAGCATCACAGCAAAAGCAGGTCAGTGTTCCCACCTGGTCCCAGCTTGGAGACAGCACACAGCAAGTCATAGTTTATCAGGGGAGTTGCATCTTCACTCTGTTTCCACCCAACTGGTGGAGAGGCAGGGGGGGAAATCAGGAACTGTTTGACAGGTTGTGGAGGGAGGAGGTAGGACTTGTCACCTATTTCGCTGGATACCTGCACCTGAAGGCAAAACCAGGAGACACAGATGGCAAATATTAATTCCCTCTTTATTTAGTCCCTTCCCCACTAATGCTTTTCCACCCTCTGCTTTAGCAATGCTCCATTCAGCCCAGCTTTAAACATAATTTCCCCCAGGGAAACGCTGCAGTTCAGAACTTGGCCTGTGCAAGTGCTGCCAGTGCTGATCCAGCAACAACATCCCTGCAGAGCATCTGTTATATGGAACATTTTGCATCCACTTCTTTCCTTTCAGCACATTTCTGTTTGGGTAGGAACAGCAAAACTGCCCCTAAAGGGTGAATTTTATCCCTGCCAGTGACTCCCTGACACGGCTCAGTGCAGGACAACGAGGCTGGAGGTGACTTCTGATGGTTGTCACAAATGGAACTCTGGGACAAAGGAGGAATAAAGGGACAGGGACACAGGCACAACATCTTTGTTCCATCACACCTGTGCAAAGTAAAGCTTCAGCTTCTTCCCACTGAAGTCTGTTTCGTGCAGCTCTATCCGTGCTCTCGCTGCTGCCTCGGGATTGCTGAAGTTTATCCTCACCCTTCTGAAGCTCTTAAACAACTGGAATGTCACTTGGTCGTCATAGACTGTGAAAAGGGCTTCAAACCTTTCCTAGAGATGAAGTACAAACATTCTCCAGACACAAAATGAACGTTTTCTCTCTGGGAAAACACACTGTCCTTTCACTTTCCCCTCCCAAATCCCATCCAGTTCCTTCATCCCCTCCACCTGCCCATTCCACACCTCCCTCAGTTACCCTGTAAACCCGTGTTCAGTGCAGCAACTTTGTCCCAGAGTTAAATCTGAAATTCCAAGAGCACCTGGATGTGAGCAGAGACCAAAAGCTCGGAATACACAAACTGCCACCTAGTGAGAGAAACTCGAAGTGCAGATCTCCAAAAATTCACATCACAGCACCGTGTATCCACTAACAATTTCAAAGGCCAGGGAAGAGTGGTATTATCTGCTCTTTGGTAACTCTACTCATGCTGCTCTGAGCTTCCCAGGAAAACACTTTGGGTTGGGTTGTTCCCTCAGTTATAACAAGCATTAATACACTGAAAATCCAGACAAAAACGTTCAATAGCTGCAGCTGCACTTCCAACCCCACACCCTCCTCCCGCCTTACCTTTTCCTCCTGCACCTCAAACACAGCTTCGTGGACACTGCAAGCAAAGAGGGAGGTAGGCAAGTCACTTAAGTCCATCATCTCTTCCAAATCATCTTCATTTTCCCCAAAAATCATCTGCTCCTCCTCCTCCTGGTCGCTGCTGTACAGGTCTGACTGGCTGTCGCTCCAGGACTTCATGGGATCCCTCAGCATCCTTCACCCACTGCAGCTCCTGGGCACGGGCCAGCTTCCACCAGGGCTCTGCCACCCCAAAGAACACAACCCAAACTGAGTGGGAGGGCACCACACCACCCTGCCCTGGCTGGGGAGGCAAAGAATTTTACAAAAACAAAGAAAAGTCACCCTGACATTTGTTGTCACCCCCAAATGAGCAGCATCTCATCCCAACCCTGCAAGGGGAGTGAAGACTCTGCTGCTCAATCAAAAGGAAATTAAAGTCACTCTGTCAAGGAGCTGAAATTCCTCCTCCCTTTTTGCCCTGACAGAAACCCAAAATGACAGCATTGTTCTAGAAGCTTTTCTCCATGACACACTTTGCACTGAACAGCCATTCCTTATTTAACAATTAAAACCCCTTCCCAAGTCATCAGAGGGGTTGAGGAAATAACTTTATTTCCTCAGGTACACAGCAAAGTTAAACCACCTCTCCAAAGCCTCTCCAGGCACATATGGAACAAAATCTAAAATCTCCTAATGGAAGGAAATTTCCTTCTCCTGAGCACTGGAAAATACCTTTCCCATGGGGAAGAGTATCTACAGCTGTGAGTAAACACATCAAGGAATTAAAAAAAC